CTATGAACTACTCTAGAAACCATATTGCATAAACTTTTCAAATTGGAAAAAACAACAAGGTCTTAAACCTCCTTTTTTCAAACACTTAACTCAAACTAATCATAATAGACAAACCACACACAACTGCCAGACATATACATACTCATGTATATGTGGATTATCAGACCAAGTACACTCAAACTTCAACACATGTCTATCACTCGGTCATGCTATTAGAAAAATCAATATATGGACTATTCTCTTGATCAAATACAATATTTCATTTAATTATATTTTAACTATCCAAATCTAAGTGAGTCTTGATTACTCTAGTAGGTTTAGGTCACAGATAAATATGTCTGAGCTTCACTCTTGAATGTAGTTTTCCTCTTATTTGTACTTAAGTTAGTTATATATAGTTAGCAGTTTAACGATTAGCCCTAACTGCAAGTATTAGCCTCGGCTATAGCATTTAAATATAGAAATATTTCTGTACATAGTAACTCCATGAAGTTACTAACTTTAAAAACTACCAATAATGATATGAGCAAGGCCTCACCTTAATACCAAAAAAAAAAAAAATTAAATTATCAATAGTATTTCTATCTTCATTTTTTTCTATACATGCTTTAGTTATAATGACAAAAAGGTAATCTTGGAGTTGTTGATCTATTAGTATTTGCATTTCAGAGGTGAGATTAAACAACTGTTAAATTTGGAATGCATTAAGGGTATCATATAACCAAGGATTTTGGATATGTTGTATTTTGTTAATAGGGTCAAAATTAAATAAAACGGAACTTGTAACAGTGTGGTATACAACAGTATTATGGCCACAATCTAAATAATTTTTTTGGCCTTTTTGTTCACTATCAAATGCCATAGCAATGAAACCTTTTGGAAATGATTGAGATTTGCCAGCTAAATCTTCCTGTCATTTAATAAACTTATTATAGCTACCAGAATTAATAAAATGGTTATCAATATCAATAATTAACTTCGACCTTGTAATGGAGTATTTAATCACAGATGCTGCTAAATTAATGGCTAATACATATTTTAGATGTCTTATTCTATAAATCGTATCGATCGCTACAGCATATTTGAATAATTTTTCACCATCATGTTGATTTTCATTTTCATTTAAGGTAAGAAATTCAAAGAATTTTATAACAACTTGGTTTTGTTTACTAAGGCACTGAGAAGGTGAATATTTTAAAAGACTATCTAAATGAAATCGATTGTTATTTTCAACTAGATTAGATACAATATCATATAAATTTTTTCATTCCTTTTTGGTGATATTAATTATGGCTTCAATATGATCTTGTTGATCATTGAATCTTTTGTTTAATTTCTTTTTTAATAATTCATTTTCAGATAATAACTGTCCTTTAACACATTCTAATTTGTTAATTTTATTAAGAAGTTTTTCATATTTGGGATTAGGTAAATATACTTGAACTTCAAAATTACTGAAAGTTTTTAATTCAACATTGTTCTTATTTTTAATATTTTCTTGTAATTTATTAATAAAAGAATTTTTAGCAATAATCTGATTATAATGCTTTTCATATAATAAGTAATTTTCTAAAGAATCAAGTAATAAACTTAATTCAGAAAAGTACTAAGACACAATTATAATTTTATTTGCCGCCATTTCTACTAATGCATGTCACCATCTCTGATTTTCTTTAACTTCACATTGTATTAGCTGACTATCTGAATATTTATCTGCAAGAGAATCAAATATGCAAAGTAAATCTTTAGCTTCAGGTTTTGAAGTCACTATTGCTGATTAGTGTAAACAAATTGTGAGAAAAAAATTGTAGTGTATCAATTAATCTTTGAATGTATTTTGGTTTAATGCTTACTAAATAACTAAATGGTGTTACTATTTTAGGTGACAAATAGTGACAGGGTTAATTAATAGGGGGTTATGGTAATAAAGAGATAAAGGATATAAATAAGAGGCAGATAAATATTAATAAGATTGATATATGTTAAAATGTACAATTAAGTGTTTGAAAATTTTAGTATATATGTAAGAACACAATGGTAAATTTAAGTTGGGATGTTTTTATGAATTAAGAAATAAAAATTAAATAAATATTTTAAGATGAGCTGTAATGATAGTTACAGAGACTTGTAACCAAAATAAAAATATGAATATTGAATTTAGTTTTTGAATTCACTTTTATTTTTATTTCTATAGTAGAATCGGTTTTAAAAAAACTTTATTAAATGTCAAAAAACTACAGTTTAAATACATTTTAATTCTTTAGTCATCTATTGACATGTTTAAATAAATTTTCATTTTTTATTCAAAAATAAAAAAACAAATACAACAAAAAAAAGTACAAAATAAAAAAATTATTAATGAGTTTCAATGAATTCTCATTTTTCATGTTAACTGAAAGACTTTATCCTACAACCAAAAGATGCCTTTTATCACAGATTCATTGATGCCATTGAGAAATTCCCTTATACTAATAACTGATTTTTAATTTCTTGTGCCATTCTTCAAACCATTTTATGAAAGAGAAAATTGATTCATATAAACAATTTTTTACAATAGGCCCTCCAAAAAAATGGTTACTATACGTATCTAAATTAGTAATAATGGTAACTAATCTATGATGCACCAAAAAGGGCATAGTATAGATCTGTAAATTGCTACATCTGAAGATTTTCTCCATATGCAACATTTAGATTTCAGACTAACTGACTAAATAATACCAATATTAAAGAAAATACTAGAAATAGAATGATGATAAGTAATACAAGAAAATATCTAAAAAAAAAAAATAAGACTGTAATGCAGAAACCTTGAAAAGTAACAACAATATAGAAGCAGATAAATCAAACTGCAATAATACTTAGCTAAAAATACAAATCAAAGGGTTCTGAATACATTTGAATTAGATTCACAAATAAATTTCTATAAAGAAGTAAAAGAAAGATAAAATTTTAGATAACTAGTAATGCTTTAATTTAATAGTCTATAGTTTGCTTACCCAGATATTTCACATAGCATATAGATTTTTTTCAGGAATATGCTCATACAAAATGCCTATCATCAAACAAGATATGAACTCATTTTGTATTAGACCTTGGATCTTTAATCAATTCTCCAGTAAAAAAAAACTTGTTGATTTCTACTAAACTATGATACAAGTAAGTAAAATTAAATTCAAAATGCTAAAACACATCATGAATAATCAATTTGTAAGTAAATTTAAATAAGTCAAAGTAACATAGCTTACTTTTTATTAATCATTGGTATATTCTTTTAACAGCCAGATCTTAAATGCATCATTGCATACTGTATATCTTATACAAATTTCCCTTAAACACAATGTAATGTAGCTTAGTATTAGATTATAAAAAGCATATACATATGGTTTTTATAAATGCATACACTCTTCAAGTACATATCTTGCCTTTTTTTTTCTTCCTATTTCACAGGTCCCAAGGAAAGTACTTAAAAGTCTAAATGTATTTAACTTAATATATGCTTAATGCAGTAATGGCGATGTGTACACTTTTTTGTATTGCTGCAAAATAATCATCTTGTAAATCACTGTGGATCCATATGGATTCTGAATCTATATGTTAGAGATATTGTTCATAGTGATTTTCTTTCTTATGTCTATAAAAAAAATTTACGTAATAAACTGCAGAAGATTTTACATATAAAAATTATTCTAGAAAATTCTTTAATACTTCATTAATCAATTACTATAATTGAAAAATTCCCTGACTGTATGGTGTTGTAGTTGAATATCCCATATGTTGCAAATATTATATAATTGTGAATGAAGTAAAGTACTAGTAGGAGTTGTACAACTAAGTTTGGCTTTGCTTTTAACAAGTCCAATATGGTTTGTAAGAA